AGAACCTGCTCTGTGCTATCGCCTCTAGTCCCACAGCTTCTCCTGTGCTTCAATCAATTACACACTGGTGTAATTTTTGTGGTATTTTACCATTTGGCTTTTTAAGACATGAGTCAAGTTCCTTAATCTGTCCTTTGTTTAGGTTTTAGTCTCATCTATAAAACAGAAATGTTACTGTGAGAATAAAAGGAAATTAAATGCATGTGAACTGAATAAAACAGAATAAGGTAAAGTGCTATAAAACTTCTAGTACCGTATCCAAAACATGGTAAGCCTTTTGTTTCTTGCCCTAAATCTCTGCTCAGATTGCCTACCCCCACCCCCACCTGGGTCTTAGCTCTTGATCTCTGAAGGTCTGCTTGATCTTCTTGGTCCTACTTGCTCCTGTTGCAGTCTCAATCATCACCTGTTTCACCAAGTGGTACTTACCATGGCATTTTGGGATGCTTCTGTATCTGAAATTCAGTTTTGCCTCCAAAGCCCAATTTTATACCACTGAGATAAACAAGAAAGGCATATCTTATGCCTTCTGTGTCTCTTTCATTTTTATTCTTCATCTTGCCCCCCTCCCCAAATTACTCTCAAATGGCAGTTAATTTGCTGTTGTATGAAATGCTTTCATGGAGAATTTTGTCATTTTTATTGGTTCCAATAATACATAACACATTAAAGAACTCTAAAAAGAGACAAACTTAGAAAGACAGGTATATATTTTATCTAAACCATTAAAAAAAGTATCAAATGTCATATTCTACTGATTAAAAAAAACCAAGGCTCATAATATCTAGCAGAATAACTTTGGAAATATGTTATCAAAAGCTTAATGCCAAACCTTGGCTTATGATTATTGTGTTACTGTATCATGGAAAAGGTAAAAAGGCCAATATTTTTTAAGTTGCGCAATTTTACTTTGGATGGTGTATGTCCCTTCTCCTTAGGGTTCCAAACAATGTGTCATAGTACATTTGGTATGAAGTAATTCACACCAAATGAGAGTTAAAAGTTCTATTTTAATCTGATGGTCTGGTCCAAAAATAAAAGAAAAACAGATTTGTTTAAAAAGACAGTTTATGCCAAAAATGGGAAGAGCATTGCTAATGACCTAGAAAGGAACATCTTTACGGTTTCCCCCCCAAAATTCTAGCTCAGTGTTTGTACCCTCATTAAGAACAAACTGAAATGACAATACCTTCTGTTTCAAACAGAGAAAGTCTTACAATTCTGGCTAGCACATAAGCACCACTACACAGAAAGCAAGAATCTTGATATCTTATTCTTATTTTCAGAATTGGAGAAACTCATAGGAAACAGACCTTAAATGTGCTTAAGTTGATTGTAAAAACTAAATAATTTATAATTTTTTGGTCTGCTTCAAACGGCAGGTGGTTGTCAATATTGTTCCTGTGCTGGATAGCTTTAGTTGTCAACTTGACATACATGGGTAGAGGGAGCCTCAATTGGGGAATTACCTCCATTGGACTGGCCTGTGGCCATGTCTGTGGGAAATTATCTTGATTATGAGTGATATGTAAGGGCCCAGCTCACTGTGGGCAGGCCCACCCCTGGAAAGGTTGTTCTGTGTTGTATAAGAAAGCAGGCTGAGCATGGGCCAAAGGAGCAAGTCAGTAAACAGCGTTCTTCCATGGCCTGTGCTTCAGCTCCTGCCTCCAGGTTCCTGCCCTGAGTTCCTACCTTGGGCTCCCTTTCCTCCCCAAGTTGGTATTGGTCAGAGTGTTTTGTCACGACAAATGAAGGGAAACTAGAACAATTCCCTAACTCAAAGGCTCTTTCAAGAAATGGCTGATTTCATCACTGATGCTAGAAAAGAAAAAGAGCTTGGACCAACTTGTAATGAGAGAAAGTTTTGAAGTGCTTTTTAAATAAATAAATAAATAAATAAATAAATAAATAAATAAATAAGGGAACTTTTCAAAAAATTTAAGACCTATCCCACGAAGTGCCCACTGGCCAGATATAGGACAACATGAACATGAAAATCTCAAAAATACCATTAATGAATTATATGCTTCTGAACAAAGTTGAGGAAAAGGCTGGAATCCATGAGCACATGGCTTAGATAGACAAGAGAAAGGAGTTTTTCTTAAAGAAATATGTCAACTGCTGACTGGCAAGGTAGAGGGAGCATGGAACTGGAAAATGATTATGTTGCAGCTATCATAATCAGAATTGGCACAGACAAGAATCATTAGTGAATTTAACCAAGGAGAGCATGAATGTCAAGGAACAGGTCATATGTCTAGACTTAAAATACCTTCCTATGGATTGCTTATTAGCTCCAACTGAAAACAAAAAAAAAAAAACAAAAAAAAAACCCCTGCAACTATAGAGTATAGAATTTCACACTCATTTGACCAGGTTACCAGTTACCGAAATTAACACCATCAGTGAGGGCCACATGGACACTGTACACTTTCAGATGTGTACCCTTGCATACTTTGGAAAGAATACACTTAGAAAGGATTCTTATTGTCTTTCTTTATCTGTGCAGTTTTTGTTGGTTGGTTGGGGTTTTTGTTTTGGATTTTGTTTTTTTAAAGACAGACTCTCATTATACAGCCCAGGCTGTCCTCCAATTCTCAATCCTCTTTTTTCAGATTCCCAAGTGTTGGGATTAGAAGCATGGACCCACCACTCCCGGCTTCACTTAAGTATTGCGGTATTCTATTTGTTGATGCACAATCCAAACCTAATAAGATATCAGGAAGAACAAAATAAGAACTATTTTATTTAAAAGGGATGTGGAAAGATGTATTTTTTTAAAAGTCAATATTATAAGACAAAGATTGAACTACTAATCAAAAGGAACAAAGAAAAGAAACATGAAAATTAAATGTAATATATAACAATATGTATTGGACCTGTCCTGGAAGAAGACAGGGGACTAGATGAAGATTATCATTAAGGTGAGTGGCTATAATGTCAGCTACTTGGGAAGTTGCAGTCAGAGTATCACTTGAGCCCAGTGGTTTGAGTCCAGGCTGGCCAACATGGCAATTCCCAGCCAAAACAAACAAAAAGATCATTATTAGGTCAAATAACAAAATTGGAATATGGAATAGTGGATTAAAGATAAACATATTTATGTTAAATTTCCTGAGATAATTGTGCCACTCATGTCCTACTTCTGTTTCTCTGAAATATACACTAAAGAATTTAGAGGAACGGTATATAATAAACAGATGGGATTTTCTCTCACATGGTTCAGGAAGAAAAAAAAATAAATGGGAATGCCTCTATGTATGTATACCTCTGTAGTGTGTATGGCTACGTGTGTATGTATGCCTCTGTGTGTGCCTATGTGTATGCATAAATGATTGTGCAAAAAATGAGATGAGAGAGCAGGAAGGAGAGAGGACAAGAGAAAGGGAGTGGGGATAGAGAAAAATCTCAGTATAATAAACCAACAAAACAAAAACAACACTAGATAAACATGGGTGAAGTACATTTGAATGTTTCTACAATGTTACCTACTTCTTTAACTGTGAAATGATTTCTAAATAAAAAGTGAGACATGCCCAAGAGTTCCAAGAACATCTTTCTAAATTGCCTTAATGTATTAATATGGTCTTTCTGTCAGCTTACTTCTGAAAAGAAGCAAAATACACAGTGAAGAGAGGAGGGAGAACCCAAATAATCATTTCTACTAGACAACTCAAGAGAGTTGTAAAGAATGTGGAAATAAAGGATACTGGATTGGGTTGGTGAGATGGTTCAGTGGGTAAAGGCATTTGCTGCCAAGCCTAAAGACCTGAGTTCTATTCCTGGAACCCACAAGATGGAAGGAGGGAACTGACTCCTGCAAACTGTCACTCTGACCTCCACATGTGAACTGTGGCATGTGTATGTGTATGCATGCATGCACACATGCATGCAAGCGAGCGTACACACACAAATAATTAATAAATAAATAAATAAACAAACAAATAAATGTTAAAAATAATATTGGAGTCTCAGACTTCTACTAAGGAAGCAACCCATTTGAAATGTCAAAGCAGAAGTCATCAGTGTGAGACAGTAGCCACACAAGGGAGATGGAACATTATTTTGTTTGTTTGTTTCATTCATTCATTCATTCATTCATTCATTCATTCTGTATATGAGTGTTTTGTCTGTGTGCACCCATGCATGCAATGCCAAGAGAAGCCAGAGGGGGCATCAGATCCCCTGGCACTGGGGTTACAGATAGTTGTGAGCTGCCATATGGGTGCTGAGAACCAACCCAGGTCCTCTGCAAGACCAGATGGTGTTCTTAATTGCTAGGCCACTTCTCCAGCCCTAGGGTGAAGGTTGTGTTGACTGATATCCAACCCCCAAAATGCCTGGTGATTTTTTAAAAATGGAAGGAATGTTGCTTCTATGAGAACATTCCCAAGATGGACTAGTCCTCAAATTCAGAATTTGTTCCCTGTTCATTCATCATCCCTGAAAAGTCCATAAATTGCCTAATTTCGTCTTAAATTAGAAAAAATACCTGAAACTACTTCTATCACTATTCTGAAAAAGCAGGTATTTAAAATTTCTCATTCTAGCCTATGAATTTCAACGATCATGTTGATAATATTTCCACTAAGAATAAATTAACATGTACTTGTACACATCAGTAATAATATGGTGAAGCATTGTGATAATAATTTATAAGCATTCTGATTAAATGTTCTGTGAAAGATACCCTAGGAGAAGGACTTGTGTGTGTGTGGGGGGAATCACAGGTTCACCACAAAAAGAAACTAATCTAAATAAACCAACTCAAAGATACTGTTCTTTGAAATATTCAGGTTATGATCAGTATTTTAACTGAGGACAATTAACATGTCAATTTTTACTTTATTGCTGCCTGTCCAACATTAAACACAAAAAGATAAAATTTCTTGTGCTTTTGAAAGACAACAAACCTTGTAATTATAACAAAAAACAATATGGAATTTTAAAATATTCTTAATGTCTCTATGATAATCTTTTAGGTAAGAAAGTTTCTGTACCTGGAGATTGATCTCTGCCTCGTAGAAGGTTAGGCATGAGCAGTAATGTCGATCTGAATCAATATCTGTCAGGACCACCACAAAGAATGTTGGCTGCTTCCGCTCTCTGGATAGGTGCCATCCACCAGGCTGACAAAACTAAATGGAGAATTTTAAAAAGTCACATTTTAAAAGCAAAATAAAAATTACTATTCATTAATATAAAATGTTAAATGTAATAGCATCTTTAAAACTGTATGTTTGAGCCAGGTGTGGTGGTACACACCTTTAATCTCAGCACTTGAGAGGCAGGGACAGGCAGATCTTTGTGTGTTGGAGGCCAGCCTGGTATACAGAGTTCCAGGACAGCTGGAGCTACAGGGAGACCCTGTCTCAAAAAGACAAAAACAAAAACAAACACAATCAAACAAAAAACTGTATGCTTGAGGGGGCTGGGGAAATAAATGACTCAGAAGATAAAGTGCTTACTGCATAAGCACGAGGACCTGAGTTCCAAATCTCTAACACTCATATTTTGAAAAAGTCAGGAATGATAGTATGTAACTGTAATCCCTGTACTAGGAGGGAGAGACAGGAATATCCTGGGGGCTCACTGTCCAACCAGTCTAGCCAACTGTGAAGCACCAGGTTTCAAAAAATAAGGTGCAAAATCAATAGAGAAAGACACATGATGGTGACCTCTGGTTTCCATAAATGTATGTATGGGTATACATACCCACACATACACATGCATGCATATGCATACACCACACATACACAAATTTATCTATTTGATATGGTATGTCACATTGCCCAATATTTTAAAAATCATGTGCAGATTCATAGATTTGAAAATGTTTACCAATGTGTATACTTATTTTACAAAGCCAGCCAAATTTTTCCATAGATATAATTGTGAGATGCCATTTCTCAGTCCACTTTTGATATATGTAGGAATATAGAACCAAGGTGAAGGACTCTTCTCCCAATTATGAGAATAAGTCATACAATAAATTAGAGATAAAGTACAAAGTCTGTATCAGTGATAGAAAACTTATTCAAAAATTTCCTCACGAATATAAAGAATCTTCAATCCATTACAATGAAAGCTATCTTGCTCACCATAATATACAGCAAAGAAACTGAATGGAGTGAAAAGATAAGTTACAAAATGGGAGAAAAATCTTGTTACTTATCCATCAAAACAAGGGTTGATGTTCAGAATCTATAAAGATCTCTAAAAATTAAGTACCAAAAAAAAAGAAACAAAATCATTCAATCAATAAACGAGCTAAACAACTTGCTGACTCTACAGGTCTCAAAAGAAGAAACATAAATCCTTGAAAAGGTGTTCAACATCCTTAGCTACTAGAGAATTTTGGATTAAAACTGCTTTAATATTCCATCTCGCCTCACTTAGATGGCTATCATCAAGAAAATGTGTGGCAGTAAATGCTGATGAGGATGAAAAGAAAGAACTCACTGCTGGTGGGAATGTAAACTAGTACATCTACTATAGAAATCAGTACAGAGGCTCCTCAAAACACTGGAAACAGGATTACTATATTATCCAGTATATCACTCATAAAATGGTAGGTGAAACTAAGGTTTTGAAAAAGAAAGACTAAATTTATTTTAGTGCTAATTCATTAAACACATTTCACGTATCAAATTGAAATTATGAGAGAAGATTTCATAAATAACAAAGTTAGGGTCTTTTTTGACACAAAGACCTATTAGATGAGCAACTGGGTATTTTTCACTAATACTAGAAAAAGCAACTCTTACTATGCTCAGTTTTCTTAATGCTTTGCACAGATAAGAAAAATTCACCAAAAGAATGAAAAAGGTCCATAGCACATTTAGACTAAACTGATTTCTCAAAGGTACACATTACAGAAAGTTCTTTGGATAATAGTTATGCTTAATATTTCCAAAGACCTTCATGTGTATTCATAAGTTCACAATTTATGAATTTATTATCATGATAAAAGGGTGTACACAATCTTTAAAAATATGAAGGTAGCCAGGCATGGTGGTGAATGGCTTTAATCCCAGAACTCAGGAGGCATAGGTAGGTGGACTTCTGTGAGGCTATAGGAAGATCTTGCCTCAAAAAGATGAGAGAGAGAGAGAGAGAGAGAGAGAGAGAGAGAGAGAGAAGAGAAAGAGAGAGAGAATGAAAGTGTTTTTTTTTAAGTATGTAAGAAAATTCCTTGTGTGAGAAAATAACACAAAACATCCAAAAGAACGCAAGGGTGAAGATAGTAAGACCTCCTTAGTTACTTAAAAAGCCTCATTTCCTCTAGTTTACACCAGAACAGAAACTATGGTATACAATAGGACTAACCTTAAAACTGGGGAAATTCCTAGGATTATTTTTTAGATTTACTAAGTACTTCTTCATAACTCCAGAACTAAGACAATAATGGTAATCATGGTTGGCCTGGTCAGAGAGTTCTTACCAAATTTATCACAAAAAAAGTTGTCAGCACATGAGATCCCTTATTTCACACATAAAATTATAAATGATACAATGGAATTATTTTAAAGTATGCATTAAGGAGTATCATCAAACTCAAAATTGTTCGGAAGATTCTGAATTCTGTATTCTCATATCAAATACATTAACATGTAAACATTCAGTTAATAAAGTTTATACACCAGAGTTTCTAAAAATGTTTTTACAGCTGACCCTCCTAAAACAAAGACCTCTAGATAGGCTGACTAGATTCACCAGAAGGGTAAGTAGTGGGGAATGGCTGGGATGCCGACAACACAGCAGACAGTAGCAGGGATATCAGAGTATAAGGACTCTATTGGGGGGAGGGTGGCTATGGGAGGGTGCTATCTGGGAAGTGGGTATAAAAATAAATAAAATAAAATAAAATAATAAAAAATGTTTTTGCAAAGCATGAAAAGAATGGCTCTAATGTGCAATAACTAACACTCCACAAATTCACTCTACCATAGATAAACAACAACAGGATCTGAGTATCAGGATGAGGCCCCAGGTCTGAGGAGAAGCGCTCCCCAAAGGGCTTGGATTTGAAAAGCAGTAATATTATCTAGTTTAGTCATTTTCATTCTTAACTAAAAGTATGTTGAGGAACTAATAAGCAATGAGAGCAGACAATACAATTCTTGAACCTGGGCTCCAGTCACATTTCTAACAGGAATGTGAGGGAATATTTAGACAGCTGGACAGAGTAATCACTGAAAGACAATAAACAGAATAGTAAGCATTCGACAAACCAGAGAGATTCAGAGTTCTGTGCTCCCTGGTGTCTTTACTGGCGTGTGTGTGTGTGTGTGTGTGTGTGTGTGTGTGTGTGTGTGTGTGTGTGTGTGGCGGGGGGGGTTGCTATTCCAGGTGCAAAACCTAAAATCTTTAGAAATGACTATCATAACTGATCGACTTGCATTTTGGCCCCCTTCAAATAACTAAGAAAGCACATACATTTGGAACAACATTATCAATGAACGTACCACATATACTGATAAATATCATTATCATACATACATGAGTAGATTGCAGCAACCTCTGCTCTGACAACTCTCTTCTATTTTACCCTCATCATTTCATACAAATCATGGCCATTAAAATGTCACAACATATCTAGGAATAACTAAGTAGGGGATTCCTGTTCAGGATGTTCTGTTTTTGTTAATCTTCAGTTTTCTACAAGACCTTGGCATAACTTGGCAACAGGTATTTCAAAATTACAAGGTTAGGAATGCTCAATACTGCTACCTTCCATATGCTACTGCATTACAAACACTAACTTTATTTGCTTAATTGCCCCAATGTGTGACATATATCATGTTCAGTAACACAGTCCAAATAACCACAAACTAAAGTACAAATATAGAAAGACCCCATATTTGCAAAACGCTATGTACAGCATAACTCTCAAGACTCGATTCATAATATAAGTATGGCCATGGGATATTAAAGTCATATAGCTAGTTTGTGATAGAGACAGGGCTAGAATTTTAGAAACTGCATCTTTTCATTGCTGAACTACTGTTATAAATCACTTTAGACATTTTTTCTTTTTTTGGTCTTTTTGAGACAGGGTCTCCCTGTAGCCCCAGCTGTCCTGGAACTCACTATGTAGACCAGGCTGGCCTTGAACTCACAGAAATCAGCCAGCCTCTGCCCCCTGAGTGCTGGGATTAAAGGCGTGTACTACCATTCCCAGCTAGACATTATTTTAAGTTCACATAAATTAATGGCAGGGAAAAAACCAAAATGAAAATGAAGTAAACATTGTTAACAGATCACATTTCCTTGCATTTCCAACCATTTATCTTTGGATGAGTACATATATGTGTGTTTTTTAAAGACAGATAAAAGGAGACCTACCATATACACAGTTATCAATCTCCTTTTCCTTCACCTGCGGTAATGTGTACATTTTCCTGTATATTTATATTTTATTTATGTGTACAAGAGGTTTTTCTTGTGTGCATGTAAGTGCATCACGTGAGTGCGGTGCCCAAGGAGGCCAGAAGAGACCATCGGATACCCTGGAACTGGAGTTATGGATGGGTGCAAGCCACAATGTTGATGTTGGGAACTGAACCCAAGTCCTCTGCAAGAAGTCAGTTCTCTTAACCAGTAAGCCATCTCTCCAGCCCCACTTTTTAACTTTTTAAAGAAAATCTGCAACCCTCCTGCCTTTGCTGAGATTATGGCCATGCACCAATGTGCTCAGTAAGAAAATTATTTTTTATCTATTATTTTTATTTTATGTGTAGGCATGTTTTGCCTGCATGTAACTGCACCTGTGTCGTGCAATGCCTGCAGAGGTCAGAACAGGGCATTGGATCTCCTGCAACTGGAGTTATGAACAGTTGTTAGCCACCATATGGGTACTAGGAATTGAACCCAGGTCCTCTCCAAGAGCTGCCAATGCTCCTAACCTGTGAGCCATCTCTCCAGCCCAACAAAATTATTTTTAATGACTACAATATCAAAGATATGCATATGCTTTGACCATAATTTAACCCGCTGCCTATTGTTGGTTGTCTAGGATGTTCAACTTTTTTTTTATAATTAATGCTGGAATAAGCATAGCATGAAGTATGGTTAAGTATGGCAGATGAAACATGCTTTCCCTTAAAGACCTCCTGCTCGCAAACCAGAATTACAG